CTCCTCCAAAGAAAATTCTGTACCTTGACTACTCTCTTGTTAGTCTTACTGATGGTATGGTGAAGATGGTAGTAGAGATATTGAAGGCATTGCAGTTAGGCTCAGATTTGATAGGGCAGTTGAAGTGAGTTCACCATCATCAGCAATTCCTCTTTCCCAATACTGTACAGCACCTTTCGTAAGTACATAAAATGACACTCATAAATACAAATACATATAATTCACATAAGATTGGAATGGGATGCTCAGTTTCGTGTGTTACCTACAGAAGGTAAGATTTCTAAAAGATCATTATTAGTGGTTATCTTTATTCCTCAAACAGGAACTTTTTCCTTCATGTGAGCTTCCATTGCATTCAGTTGTATTTTTTCCGGTCTGCTATCCCTGGAGGCAAACTTTACACTGTAGTTTAAATCAGCTGCTGTTTTGTTTTTACACATTTCATCCTCATTCATTGTGTAAGGTTAACTTTTAGAAATGCTAGAATACAGTTGCTAACCTTGATTATTAAACAGGTGTGTGTATACGTACTCTAATACTTATCTATGCCATTTTTCTTCAATGTAGCTTCTGTTCTAGTTCAAACATAGTATCTTACTATCCACTCTCAAGCTTTCATGTACCCATGCTTGGCTTATAATTCTCTAAACTTTTAACTGCTTAAGTACTAGTAGCTTATTCTCTGTTCCAAACCTTTTATGTTCTTGATACTTCTAGATTCCTTCTGTTACTTTCATGCTCGTTTAAAAGTTCGTTACTGAAACCAACAGTTTTATTGTTAGGTCTGACTGCTTCTTTTCAAGTTGTTGCTCTTCAAAAGGTCACCCTGTAAAATGAAACAAAACAAAAGCCAAAAGATCTACTGAGGCCATGAATTTGTAGTTTGGCTTTAACAATGATTGCTGAGACGATTTCTATTACTCAAGGTTATATCCATCTATCACTTAAGTGTGATATGTAAAGAAACAGTTCAAAATCTGAAAATGTCACTGTAATGAGATGTTTTCTAGTACCTTCTGGTTTTATGACAGTGTTAGTAATAACAGATGCTGTCTGTTTATATTATAGGCCTTTTCTGATTGTGTAACTTGGCTTTTAAGGCTCTTACCTGTTTCGTATATTTTGCGAATAGCATCCGCAGCAGTACACTATGTGTAAGCTATTTCCTCTCCAGGAGCTTTTACTTGCACCCCTCAAACATTAAACTCTTCTGTGTTCACCTTTTCTTGAAACATACCCCTACAGACACTATCAGGATACAAAATAACCTAGTAGTGCTGTGTACACGAAGGCGTGACATATCTAATAGCAACATGAAATTATATGTCTGTAAATTTCCACATATAGAATCATAGAATCATTTAGGTTGGAAAAGACCTTTAAGACCATGGAGTCCAACTGTAACGTATATGAAGATACAAACGTTAAGAAAGTAATACGTTGCACCATTAAGCAACTGCAAGTGTTGTTTATGGCAGTCAGATAAGCAAGTGGTTATTTTACCTGCTCTGAGGTAAAAGAAAAAAAAAAAAGCATTTATCTGCACCGATAAATTGTAGCTATTTATTTATTAAATAATATATTTATTTTTTTTTTAACACTTGGTCTTTGTTTGCTTATAGATGCTGGACTAGAAGTGAAAGTAAAGGATCCTCCAAAGGGAATGATACCTCCTGGAACCCAGCTTATTAAACCAAAAGCAGAACCTCAGCCAAACAAGGTTTGGAGAACTGAAAAAAGCCCATATAGTTATATTTGGGTGGGATTTTATTGTTGTTAATTACATACTTCATCATGTTATACTGATGCAGTACTTAAGGATATTTGCAAATCACTGTAATGTGCTGAATGGAATGAAATGAATACACTGGATAAAATGAGATACACTCATTCCATTTTCTTTCTGTTTATTAATAAAACTGTTAGAAGCTCTACAGAAACTGCCTTAGTCTTGGCTTGTCACACAAGCGTTTTGCAGCCATTTTTAAAGGCATTGACTACATTCTGCACTATTATTAGGTCTTTTTCTTTGATATTGTACTATGAAATTAACTGTACAAAAGGCTTTATAAAGATTTTGTTTGTTTGGTGATAAGGATCATTCTTCAGTCAGTATAAAATCCAAAATTAACTTCTTTAACGATATTTTCTTTTCTTAGAATATCATTATTTTATTTTTAAAAGTTATCTTTTCTGTAGCTTTCGACTTTCCTGTTTCACCTTATCTTTCCACCCTGAAGGACTGAAGTAGACACAAATAGCAGAGGAAAGCTGAAAGGTGGTGTGACAGTGCTATAAGGAAAATGCCCAGATCAGGGAACCATCTTCCACATCCACGTAGATGTGAAGGAAGGGATATTAAACGAGGTGCTGAATCTTTTTTTCATGGAATAAGCCTACGTTAAAGATGTGGAAGTCTGAAATACCACAAGATTATCCTTCCCTTTCTTATTAAAATTGCAAAGGTGGCTAAGAAATACATGGTTACAAAAAGGATCAGGTGTTTACCAACTTCTTACCTACACAGCATGTCCTGATTTATTTGTTTTCCAACTTTCTGAATAATCTTGAGACAGTAACTTTGTTCTACAGTTCCACAGTCTATAAATGCATCCAGTGTTTGCTTCTGCCACTAACAAGATTTTTCCCTACACCCACACCTCAAAATAAAAATAATAAATTTACCTTTAGTTTCCACACTATTATCCCTCATTGCAGTTTGATTTTGTTTTTGGTTTTTTTTCCCAAAAAGTTGTTCTAGGCTTTCTCCCTTCTCTTGGAAGGAAGACTTCCTGGTTACTTCACTTAGTTGAAACTCTTAGTTCCTACTGGGTGAGATTAATCTCACAGAACTTAGTAATATCTCCATCCAAGCTGGTCATCATATGTTTTGTTTGCTGTCACCAAAGTGAGAGACACATCTGGTCTAAATTGACATAAATTGCTCAATGGAAGTGCTGTCTTTCTTTTCTATGACTGGTTCATACACAATAGTTACATTTGTCAAGTAAGAGTCTTCATGACAGTTGAAATTACTTGACAAAAGTCAGGCCACTGGTGTTCTCTGAGGCATCACCTAGTGTTTCATCATCTCCTTGTGTTGTTCTGCTTGCACGTCTTGTTTCTTGTTCCAAATTGTAGTCTCTTTGGAAAAGGAGCCATCTTACTGTCATGTATATAGTGTCTGTGGAGCCTGTTGCAAAAATACACTACACCTTTCATGGTAAATCATTATATCAGTCTTCTTTCTTCTGTATTGTATTAAATCATGTAACAAACCAGGTTAGAATAATTCATCTATGAACAGCAGTATTACAAATAATACAGAAAGATAATTGTTGCACTGTGCTCCGTGCTGCTGAAGCCAAGAATGCAAATTAGAAATGTGTCAGTCAGAGACAGTCCAATATACCAAATCTTGTTTTGCTGAGAAGGAGTTAGTTAAGCTGTAGAAGCTTCTTCCTCTTCTTTGTTAGCCCTAAATTTCAGATAGTTACAACCAAAGGACACTGAAAGTGTGTTCTCAGTGGTGATCTGTCCTCAACTGGAAACACCAAAATATTTTCATTGAGGCAGTGGAACATTCCAGTTTTTTGGTCAAGTCTTACTTGAATCACAAGTTGAAAAGGGATACTGTATTATGACTTAGTATTGATTTCTTCATTCTCTGTCATCTGAAGTCAGATAAAAATCTGGTTTTCCTGTTCATCCAAGTTGGTAAAGGAAATTATCATGGTGATTTATATTCAGCCTCATTGGCTGTGAAACTTAGATTAACTAATTTGCAGAAAATTCCATTCTGCATCCTATTGAGGGAAACATTATCTTTCAAGCTATATAATGTAATTCAGGGTAGTTGGAACCAACTAGAAGAAAGCAGTCCTAATTTAGCTGAATTGGAATAAGTAAGACTGGAACCAGAATGATTGGTCACTAACATGTTTTGACTGTTTCTACTGTCCTCACATAACTGAAAAAGTAGCTAACATCAATTGCAAAAAACCCCACCAAGCCCAAAAGCTCTGGACAGGGGATGGTTTTTTGCATCCCTTCATAGGTTAACGCTCTTGTCAAGGTTACTTTATCCTGTACGACGCAACTTTCTGTGCTGTGAGGTGTACCCCTTTTCAGATTCACCAAAGGCAGCGGCACAGCAACAAAGCTCTTGAAGACTGCTGTGCTCTGTAACAGAGATGTATGTGCTAATTTCTATGCTTTTCTGCATTAGTTGCTTCTTTTAGTTGGAATCCAGTTTATGGATTCATCTTCCGTGGAAGAACTGCCTATGAGGGTGTTACAGGACAGAGTTACTGAACCGTTACGTAGAGAAATATTTCAAGCAAAGAGCTGCTATATCAGAGAGGAGACTCAGGCAATTAAGTTTTTCATGATGGTCAGAAACGAGCATCAGACAGCTTTTCATCTGTTTTTTATTGTATTGTCTGTCACTGGACCTGATCTCTAAACAGACTGTAGTTACAGCTTGAAGTTTTCTATTAACTAGTTAGCTGCCGCAAAAGGGAAAAATGCTCTTTCCAGGTCTGTGTATATCCACATCTTGAGTGCGAGTTGTTCTTCCTCTAAATTCATGTTTTTATCCAAGTTCTAGGCAGCTCGTCATATGATTTTCTGAAGTAACGTTTAGAGGTAATAATGCAGGGACCTCTAATTTGCAAAGCTTTGTTTATAGGTTTGTCTATGCCGAGAATGCTCTCAGCAGTGATTCAGCCTTATGTTTTTACAAGGACCTTGGAAGTCTTAGTTGTGCCTATTGAGAGAGATCTAAATCCTTGGAGTAAGAGTATCTTTAGTACGCAAAACCTTACGCATTTTGGAGTAAATTACATTTGAAATGCTTTAAATGCTTCTATTTTTTTTTTAATAGCCTTAAAATAAATACCATTTCTTAAATAATTTCTTTAGCGGGGGGAAATCATGCACTTAGCTCTTACCTTTTGCTACCCTTTCCTGAGTTTATTCTGTCCATATTGTTTCGTGCTTTATGTTAAGTCAAAGATTGAATCCATACTTCAGTTGATACTTTTTTCAGTTTTATGTGTGAAGTTTGAAAATAACCTTCCAAGAAAGAGGTGTTATACCACATGCATAGAATACACGCACCTCTTAAAACCAGAGACCAAAAGGATATCTTGTATTTGTTCTGTATGAGACAGGGGCCTGATAATGTGTTTGAATGGTGAAAAAAATTATAGTGAAATAACAACTGAGAGATTTTGGGGGCTGAAGTAAATCAAACTAGTGACAAAGAGCATCTGATCTAACCTTTCTGTGAAAAAGGGAGGAACTATTGAAATAGCTATTTGAAAAATAAAATAAAGAAGTAGAAAGATCTAGTCTTTTCTCTTTTTTATTGGCAATTTAAGCTCTTTAGCTAAGGAAAATTTCCAAATTTTGGCCAAAAAGCCGACTAAGGAGAATGTAGACAAATGAGAACTAGTAATCCCAGGTTCATCAGTTACTGGAAATACTAAATTTGAAAAGGAAAAACTGTTGAAACTTACAAGAATTAATAAAATGGAGGAGGAGGGGGACGCTTAAAAGAACTGGAAGCTTGCACTGAATATTGTGTGGCATAACAGAGATCTTTCCAAGACTGAGTCAATGCACTTTTACTTTTAGGGTTTATTCAAACATTATTATTTTATAAGTTATAGTAAAAAAAGTGAAGTTATACACAGCAGCCATGGGAAACTAGCAACAAACTGTAACTCTTAAGACTGCCATCTTGTCACTAGCATTTCAGAATCTGTTAAACCTATTTCTTTTTACTCTTGAGAGCTCTGTTTCAATTTTTTCTTCCTTACTGTCTTCCTTTGCTTCTCTTAGGTTCGCAAATTTGTGGCCAAGGACAGTGCAGGGCTTCGTATCCGTAGCCACCCTTCCCTTCAGAGTGAGCAAATAGGCATAGTGAAAGTCAATGGATCCATCACTTTCATTGACGAGGTAATTAATAAGACATTTCCGTTGAAAATTGGGCTAAAATGTAAAGTTAATTCATGCAAATGTTTTTTTATGTTTAGATGTTGACATATACAACTTAAGAATATAAGAGTATAAGTTGCAAAAATCTAAATATTTACTAATTTAGTTTTTCGAGCTGTTATTTCCTTTTAATTTACTTACTTGAAAACCTGTGTAACAAACTTTTGAGACTCTGATACCAGGAAACAAAATTCCTAGAGTTCATCTTAGAATCTCTAAGGATTTAGCTGTTCATGACTTACTATTTCAAATCTACTGAAAATTCAGATGTAGGTGTCATTTTCATTACATCTTTCACTCACATTTCTTAAAGATCGCTAGTGTGTTAGACTACTATGCATGTATTTTTCTTACAATATAACTTCATATATGAGGAATATTTTTGCATTTTATTAAGTTATATCAGCAGTGGAAAAACAGAAAGTGGGGAACTTACGAAGCTTGTGAAGGCTTGGCTTTCTTTGCTCTTTTCTCTCAAAGCGACTCTTACTATTGCATGATCTGATTTAAATTTATCTTCGCACCTTGCCTTCTAAAAAAAATATGCCTCCTATTGCTTTGAAATTCTGATTTTTGTCAATATTCCTCTTTACCTCTTCTTACATTCTTTCAGAATAGTGAAGATCGTTACTTCCTTGCTACTATTGTCTGTTTGTCTGAAGTCTGTTAATCCTTACTAGCTACAGAACTGTTACAGGAGGGCATGGCTCGTTTTTGTTGCTTGTTTCCCATAGATCCACAATGATGATGGTGTTTGGCTGAGGCTGAATGATGAGACAATAAAGAAGTATGTTCCTAACATGAATGGTTACACTGAAGCCTGGTGCCTCTCTTTTAACCAACATCTTGGCAAGAGCCTTCTGGTACCTGTTGACGTAAGTAAAAGGTGCCTTTGAAAAATATCCAAAAGTACACTCTATCCTCATTACAAGACTTTCTTTAATTAAGGCTGCAAGTGAGTCCTGAGGTAAACAACATTTTAATTACCAAATACTACCTTATATGTGTTTGCATTGTTGAGGGCTATTGTGTAATGAGGGTGGAGTGTAGAAAGGTACAAGGCTTTTTATGTTGAAGCCTCTTCTCGAAGACAAATGAAAGTGCAAGGACTGCTATAAGAGTGTACAAAAGTATAATCATCTGCACCAGGTGTATCTGATGTAAGATGCCATTGTCTGTGAAGTGGCCCACTGATGCTGTGATTTCAGAAGAGGCTTGCAGTCTGCAGTGAATCGATGTAATTGAGGCTTTTTAAAAAAACTTGAAAAGTTCTTTAGGCTCCGATTTTTTTTTTGTTTATTTTTTCTGAGTTTTACCCCTGAATCTTTGAGTTATCAATTTATTAACTAATCAGAGAATCCCAGAGCATCAAGACTGAGTAAAAGATTGAATTTATAATAAGAATAAGTCTAATTTATCTGGATAACTTTAATGGTGATCACCATCAGTACAATTCAAAAGTTACACCTTTTCTGTAAAAAAGATAGAGTTTAAAACAACTTAGAAAACACGGGGGGTGGAGTCTATTAGCTAAACCAGTGTTTCTCAAAAAAATTCTGAAAGTGCAGGCCTTTCTGGTTTTGTGCATTCCCCAGAGTGGCCAAGCCTTGGTTTCTTCAGGCAGAATGTAAGAACCAGATCTAATTGATAATACAGCTATTTAGATTTTATTTGTCCTCTTACATGATTCAGCTGCTGCTGCAGTTGAAGACCGTAAACAAATATTTGGCCAAATTAAACTCCTGCAGCCAGTAATGTCACCCTGTTCATGTTTTCCGATCATAGAACTACTGAGATGCCCAGTTTCAGTGAAACTGGGATCTTTGTTAGTAGCCAGATCTCGAAATCTGTAAATCCTCTGTGGCTGTAGCCCGTGTTCTGACATGCACTGTTACCCGATGTGACTAGATCTTCTTGCTGTTCACCCTCTTGTCTATAATTGTTGATATAATTGTTGATATAATTCTATTTGGAGACTTCTTTTTATTAAATCCTTACTTTGGGAAGTACTTTAGTACAAGTTCCATTGCATTTGGGAAGCAAATTATTTCTGTACTCAGTCATCAGTCACTTGAATGCTATGACAACAGGAAAAATATGTTGGTCTAATTTGTTGTAGAATATATGAAAACACTGAAAAAATATAAGCGTTGCTTAAAATGTTGCTCATACTTTTGGCCTTAGAAATTGATACTCATTAGAAAATAGCTATAGTGTACTTTCACAAAACATTAATGTTTGTATACTACAGTATTGTAAGCCTGGATGAGTATTATATTTTGTTAGATTTTATTTCTTCCTTTCTATTTCTAATACTTTTTTACTTGCTGTGGGGAAAAGTCTTGAGCTTAGTAGTCATGTACATGGTTAGCAAGAACTTACTGGTTGGCATGTTTCAAATGGTTCTAGTACACTCTTACTTCTAGAGAAGAATATACCCTGTGCTCTCTGAGAAAAGCTTGAAAAGAAAGCTCTGTCATAAATAAGTAAGCTGAGTATTCAATCTTGAGAATATAATCTTCATAATTCAGATCTGAATAAATAGGTCAGGTACAATGAAATGTGAAAACCAGCATTTAATTATCATACATTTCACTCTAAATGCTTCTGTAAAGTTCAGATAAAATGGTATAGATTTTTTTAATAGTGTGAATTAGTTTTGATACCATTTGAACTAATTGGAGTTAGTAGATATTACTCATTTTCTTTTAACTAACCGGTTATATTATGTCCTTAATGGCTCAAGGTAAAAGCCGCATGCTTTGTTAGCTTCTGATCAGTAAGCAGCCAGTGACCAACATAGCAAAAGTCTTACAAAAGCAACTATTATAACAATGTAGCTAAGTACAATAAGAAATATGTTTTGAGCTAGTTTCAGATGGAAGATTTCTTTGCATCTTTCTCATATTTTCAAATTTTTGAAAGAATTTAGCATGTCCTGAAGCTATTTAATTTCATTATGACCATATTTAAGCATTAAAATTTGTTGATTTGATTCATAACAATAAGCAGAAAAAGGAAAAAATGTCTTCTGACATTTTCCTTCTTTCTTAAAGGACACAAAACAAAAGTCAAGGTTCAGTGGCTTACTTTTGAATGCCTTAGTCTTTAAAGCATGATATTATAACTTATGCACCACTTAACTTGATGAAATTCAACACACTCTTTTTGTAAGCTCCTGATTTTCGTAACTAAGCTTAAAACTCCTTTCCCTGCTAAATTTTGATCACATAAAGTCATACTGCTTTCTTGGTAGAAACTTTTAAAATAAAATGTCTTTTAAGGTGATTACTGAGTTAAGAATATTACAAAGTATATGTCTGTCTTTCTCTAAACTGTCAGAGAAAGTAAGTATTACATAATTACTTACATGTTTTGTTTCTTTGTAGACATTACCCATATATTTTATGATAAATCAAATATTAATTATCTTAGATCTCCTAAATGCGTTATTTCTGTGTATGTTAATCAAAGCTATTATATTTAAAGAGAAATAATCCTAGGAAAGCAGAGATTCATTATAGTTGCCAAACTTTTTATTTGAGCTGTGGTCACTTACCTTCTTAAGAAAAGCTGTATAGTTAAATCCTTTCGTGAGGAACTGCTATTGATCTAAAATTGAACATCCAATCCATTGTAGGTGATGTGATTGTGAGGCTATGAATTGAATAGTGATTTTGGGTAAGAGTATGAGTTTTAATAGATTGCCATTTTTTATAAGCTTCTTCCTTCCCTGGTAGTTAGTTTTCCTTCTGTCTAGTGATATTCAGTTAACTGTTTTTGAAAAAACACTCGTTAAGCTCCTTACACGGACAGTTGTGTATTCATGCTTACACACGGTACTTAGTAGAAGGGTACAGAGAGCATAAAACAGTACATGGTAGGAAGAAAAAGAATTTTATCTTTAAGTTCTACAACTTGACTTTTTAAAAATCATATTCTAAATATTGGGTTTTTACTTAATTTTAAACGTCAAACTTTATTATAAGGAATATTGAACCCTGCTGTCCAGTTATGTTATTACATTCCCCAACCACCATAGGCAAGCAGGATTGAGAAACTCCCAAGTTTTTCAGATTGTTGCAGTGGAAGAAAGAACCAAAATTAGTATGTAGACTGCAGTGTTTAATCACAGAACCTCAGAAAGCTGAATGTTCTGTGGAAGTGTTTAAGGACATTCAGAAGAGATTTCTACCATCTTTTGAGGCATGATGGAAGGCAATTGAATTTACATTGGGTAAAATGTCAAGATGGTTGTTTATGATAAGCCTTACTTTCGAAAAATAGTATCAATTGAGATTTTAAATGCTTCTTAATGATTTGCTAATTTTTCATGGTGAAATGAAGTAATTTATATTTAATTTTTTTATTTCTGAAACTTAAACTATATTGGCAAAAAAAGTATGGAATTTCTTTCTCGAAGAATTCCTGAAATTATTTTTAGGTTTTGGAAGGAAAAATGTGAAAGGAAGAAACAAACTGAATCTACAGATCATAGCATGAGAATTAAATATAAAGCTTGTATGTAATAGTTTCTTCAGAATGAAGAATTAATTCTCAAATACATGCCTTAGATGAATAGATAACTCATCTAAACTGGTGTACAGTGTGCTAATAGCCAGGAACATCAAGTTCCCAGAGCAAAGGAGACCACCTAGTTTGATCTTCTCAGTGTTGCTAAGCCAGCATAGTCCCACTTCACTGCTCTTGGTTTCTTTATTGTTTGATACATCAGATCTTTGAAATGATACTTCAGTATTTTAGGTATGGATAGTCCATGTTTCCCTGTACAGTTGAATTCCATCACAAAAGATGCGATATGCTGCAAAGGAATATAATTGGTCTCTTACACCACGTTGAATGCCTATGAAGTACACTCTCATGAGGCAAATGTAGGCTTTTTATAGCTGTCAAAGTTCTGTTTCAAGTTGATAAACTTTTACTCTGCCAACCTTCCCATTTAACACCCTCCTCACCTTCCCCAATGCCTCAAAATATATCTCACTAGTGCATTAGTACCTGTTTCAATTTTGTATAGAGGTATTAAACTCTAAAGGAATTCTGGTGTTGACAATTACCCAAATTTTGTCAAAATTGCAAATCATTTGCATTACTGAAACTTGATGTAAGCAGAAGTTTTACATACAGTATGTAGCTAGATGGTTTTCTTCTATCATGATTCAGAAGTCTGGATTTACTTACTTTTAATGTGTTACTGTTTTTTCAAGGAATACAGAGGAGGCATTCCAAGAGTGTTTTGTACTTGTTTCTACTTAAAGGGATTCGTTGCCCTTTTTTAACTACTATTAAATTTTCATGTGACTACTGTCCGGAGATTTCACTTGGTTCGCCTATCAAGATGAGGATAGGAAATAAGATTTTGATATCTCTGTTCATATAGATAAAATGGAATTCTGCCTTAGGAATTCTGTCATAAATATTGATTGTTAATACTACTATGCAGGTTCTATTAAGTCTTTCATTTGGCAGGAACAGTAAAAATTTCTTTGAAATGAGTAGAAACCAGTATATGGAGAAAAGATTACTACGTTTTCATGTTTTCCAGTGGTTAAAAAATTGTATCCTAGCTGTTCTGTGGCAGCAAAGAACAAGCAGTGTTCCTTTCTGTAGTACGGGCAATTGGTTATAATATTAGTGAGCTCTCTGTGGCAGTTCCATTTGGTTTTCATAAGAAACTAGTAAATGCCTTGTATATTCTGTAAAGATAATGAAATTAGTGATCGTTGTCCTTACAGCACTCTGAAATTTTTGGCTCTGGTAAATAATGTCATTTTGATGGTGCAAAATGATGAAATCATTCTGTGCAAGTGAATTGCTTTCAGCAATAGTGAGCTCAGCCCTTCTGCGTCTTTTAATTTCTGACCTGGTGACTGAAAGTCTGTATGCAGTTGTCCTGCAGTAATTGAAATTATCTTTCGGAACAGCAGACTCTTGCTATAATACTGTGGTTTGTGGAGGGACCAACTACTGTTTCATTGTAACAGAAGTGTGGGATTTTTCTGTGCGTGAAGTCTCAAGCTTTATAAGAAATGTCTGGCTCTTAATTTCAGTAAATGGCATGACACACTACATCCATTTCGAGCTTTTGACACACTAAACTGTTTTTGTTTAATGGATGATTTGCCATGGTGAGCAATGGACTCAGGTGACTTAATTAGGGAAACAAAACTTTCCCTTTTTGCAAAACATTCTACCAATAAATTTACTTGTGAAGAAAGTTTGCGTTATAGTACCTCAAGCTTCTTCCTCCAATGTTTCTTTGTTCCCATTTCTTTGTTGATATATGTCTTTTTTTTTAAACTTTGTTGCTCAGAATGTCTTTAATGCTAGCCAAGGAGTAAGGGATTTGGACTTTTTTTCATGGACTTCCAAAGCTTTACCCCCTAAGGTGAGTTAAATGACAGGAACAGTCACACTGTATCTCATGTTTTCAGATTGTACCTTATGACTCGACTTTACACTAAATACTCTTTGAAGTCTGTTTTACTTTGGATTATTTTTACAGGAAATAGCAGATTTGCATTGAATGCCGTATCTGTGTCTTCCTTTAGGATGAGAAAAAAATACCAGGGCAGATTACTGAATTTTCATTAATTCATAAATAGCACTCTCCTTTTTTAAGAAATCAAATCAGAAATTCAGAGAGATGGTCTAGTAACATTAGTAAGTTTTTTTTCTGTTATTGGAGGGTACACATTAAGTTGCAGCATCTAGTAAAATGATGTTTATATGAGCAAAGCCACAAATATTTAATAAATATTCAGCCTAGTCTTTACTCTTTTTAAATTATACAATTAAAGGAACAAGCTATGTTCTGTACAGTTAAGCAGTTTAAATTATCTACGGAAGTGCTTGTCTAAATCTCTTTGCAGCCCTGTAATGACTTTGAGTTTTTTCGTATGAACTTTAATGACGGTCAGTGTTGTACACATGAATTTAGAAATTGAAAAACTTGATTTTCTGCTGAATCTTTTCCCCCAAAATAGCAAACTTCTTTATTGTTATATCAAGATCTAGGCAATGTTTAAACTGTCTTCAAAACATAACCATATTTTTTTTCCTTGAACCGGTTTACCTCATCTTGCATTTGAAAGTTATGTATTTACAAAATAGATTCATTTTTGTGTAAAGGCTTCTGCTGTAGTACTCTGGACATAGTGCACAGAATTCATTACTAAAAAAGATGAAAATATAATAATTCAAGGCATTAGAGGAAATGGCATTAATTAAAAAGGAAATAGCATAATCAGAAGTTTGGTTTAAAACTGATGAAAGCAAGTATTCTTTTACATAGCAGGAAGTGAACTCCTGGAAGGTGGTTTTACAAGAGTTTGTGGAGGCAGAAAGTATCAGCACGTTCAGAAGAAATTAAACAAATTTATAGAAATCAGATTCATAAATAAACACTAAAGAAAACAGGGTATACCCTCTAACGTCCATAATAAAAAGATTTTAAATGCTGTTGGTATATAAGGGACAGACCACTAATAAAGATTTGTATGCTGCTTCTAAAGAGCAGCTCTGGTTGCCGTTCCTGAAGACAATATACTGGACTAGGTGAAACACTGGCTTCATCCTGTAGGACATTACTTAGTTCTTAACTTTCAAGTGTTCTTTTAAAAGCACCCTTGACTTGCATTATAAGCATAACAGAGCTCGCTCCTGCTTCTCACTTGCTTTCTTCTGATACAAATGTGTGTTAAGTTACTCCCATCCCTCATATATTTCTGTACAACTGCCTTTTTATTAAGCTTTGACTGGCTGAAAAAATCTATGCTAATATTTCTTTTCTTTAGTAACTACCAATTTTTCTTGGTAAGAAACTCAAAAAGTGTTTTCTCATTTCAGATTTGGGTATATATTTCATCTGTAATTGGTACTAGGACATTGTCATAGTGAAAATAAATGCACAGTAATATTTATATGTGCGTTTAAGAATCTATGGTGTTGCTGTTACTCTTTGTTGTAATTTTACCTTTACTCTAAATTAACAATATATTCTAAATGTGAAATCAAAAAAGAAGCATATCATTTGGAAAGAGATAATATTCAAATTCCCTTTACATAGCCCCAGACCTTTTCACAAAGTTTCACAAATACAGCAGAAGGAATGAGTGTATATACTGATAGATCTCGGTATGAAACAAGGTTTAGTGAAAGTGGTTAGCGTAAATAATTTGTCTATAATTGTAGATATGAGATATTCCTTTTATGTAAATGGTCTACATTTACATCATCTTTGTTTCAAGAGTAATATGGTGACTTTTCAATTAATGTGCAATTTACTAGCAGTTAGTTGTTTATCATTGCATGCTAAAATTAACAATGTAACTACCTATTTTAGCTTTGAAATTTAGTGATTGTACTCTTGAAATAAGTATTTCTTATCTAAAGAGTTCAAAGGTAGTATTAATAGGTTTTATTCTGTTCTGTTTTGCCTCTTTTTTTTTTTTAATTTCTTAGGAATCTAGGTCTAATACTGATGATTTTTTCAAAGACCTAAATTCACACTGCCCACAGGAAGCAGTGATGCAAGAACAAGATATGCCATTCCTTCGAGGTGGACCTGGAGTGTACAAGGTAGTGAAGACTGGCCCATCAGGTCACAACATCAGAAGCTGCCCTAACCTTAGAGGTATCCCAATTGGAATGTTAGTTCTGGGAAACAAAGTCAAGGCAGTGGGCGAGGTATGGATCCTTGTAGCTTCATGTCTTCATAGATACCAGTATATAACAGTAGTAAACACAACAAAAGAATCTGCCCCTCTACAGGTTTGCTTTTCCAACCTTCATGATAAATATTCACCTTTTAACTTGGTTTATATTATAAATACTAATGCAATTATGTCTTTTGCCTTTTAGATGTGTTCATTGATTGGAATAATGTTAAAATTGTACTGCAGTTACGTATGCTTGTTTATATATTTCTGTTACAGTACTCCTTACAAAGTTATGTTTCTTGTTCTACTTTTTTGTCGTATTCTTTGAAAGAATTTTGTTTCATTGAAAAAAATGTTTTTATAGGCTAACCTGTTAACAATTATTGCTTCTCTGTATTGATTGTATTCGTTTGCTCAGTTGCTGAACTGTTGTTACCATTCCCAGTTGTCCAGATTTGGTGTTTTATGATTAAGAAGGGCTTAAGGATGAAGTGTGTCATGCTATTTCCTAAATATAGTGTCAGGAACAAAATTAGTACACATACAAACTTTTCATATGTAACTTGGTATTATAGTTCTACTGTTGCAGCCACCAATAAAAAGGCATATTTTGGTGAATATGTTCTTCAAGTTTTTATTTAGGTTTGTTTGGATGTTCCAAAGTTGTGATGTTGGTTTTTTGCTTCTTCTGAACATAAACAGGTGTAAGATTTTTGGAAATACTCCTACCTGTAAACGTGCCATAGATAGTTTTGGTCCTTCAATCTGCCTCAGCGTGTGGCCTTAATTTAAGAAACATTTTTTACATTTGCATTGTAATATAAAGATGGGAATGAGTGTGTTTTTCAGATACGATAATAAGTTGCTGAATCATGCTACTGAATTATCTGAAAAGTCAATAAATTGTGCTTTTTTATGTGTGCATCAGGTGACTAATTCAGAAGGTACATGGGTGCAAATGGATAAGAACAGCATGGTAGAGTTCTGTGAAAGTGATGAAGGCGAGGCGTGGTCGTTAGCTAGAGACAGAGGTGGAAACCAGTACCTCCGACATGAAGATGGCAAGTTGTTTTGTTTTGTTTGTTAAATTAACTTGGAAAAAATTAAACAATCTAAACAAGGCAAATAAATAAAGAAGGAACTGAGTTTTAAATGGGTATTACACATTTTCATTTGAGTTACTTTACATGATTGGACTTCAAAGTTGTTTATAAACATTCTTTAAATGTTTTTTAAAATAACAGTTAAAGTATTTCCCCATGTTTTCTTCTGTACCAGTTAGGGATCATAATTTTAGCTGTCCTTCTTTTAGCTATGTAGATTATTTTTAAATAAGTAATTGTGCGTTTTTGTTAGCTTTCTTCGGTCCATTTTGTGTCTCAAGAAAAACAGAGCAAAATGAATTACTTACGTTCCTTTTGATTTTAAGTTTGTTAGTTCTGTCACATAGCATCCTGTTAAAATCCTGTTAACACATTTTCTAACACTTTACTTAAAATTAACATAAAATTAGTTAATTATTCTAGTTAGCGAAGTGTGATTGCATATTTTTATTGCTTCCCCCACCCAATCACCCTCCTTGTTGATCTCCATCGAAACAGGCTATCCTTACTGATCTGACATATCTATCTTTCACCATGAATGCTTCATATGAATACCTTGAGGTATTCTGAAACTATTATTTCCTTAACAGATGGTCCCAGCCCATCTGGATGACTTCTCCTGTGCAAGATTATGGGCTATTTTTATTTCCTTAAAGATGAGACAGGGAGTGATCTGTCAGCATTTATACTTCTGGAGAAGATATCTATTGAACCTCCCTGTCAGTAGCAGATTCAGCTAGATCAGATTGCTCAGGCCCTTGAGTCAGGTTCTTACAATCTCCAGCCTCTCTGGACAACCTGTTCCAGTATTTGACTCACCCTCATGGTGAAAAATTTTCCTCATACTTCATCACAATTTCCCAAGCTGCAACTTTTGTTTATTGTCTCTTGTCCTGTCACTGTGAACCTCTGAAATGAGTCTGGCTTCATCTTCCATGAACCCTTCAATTACATAGTTGAAGGGAGCAATAAGATTTCACCTTAGCTTTCTCATTTTAAGACTGAACAAACCCAAATCTCTCACTTGGTGGCCTCCACTGAATTCATTTCAGTCTGTCTTCTGATAGGAGCCTGAAACTGGACACAGCACCTCAGCTGTCCAGTGTGTCCATCTTGTCTTTCCAATGTCTAGTAAAAATTACTATAGATCTTCATTAGCATGATTTTGTTACAGGTATTCCCAGAGAGAAACATTCAGGGTTCCTCCATTGACAATAAAATTTTGGTAGAATTCCCCAGAGGCTGTTTTATTTCAACTCACTTGAAGAGTTAGTTTCTTCAAGCTTTCTTTTTTTTCTTTCAACATATATTTCTTTGTTTTCTGAATAAATCGGGACATTTTAGATTTATAATCTTCCCACTCCATTATGGGATCTAATGCATCTGTTTTCCAAAAGATGTCTTCATGAAAAACATCCACCTCAGCAGTCATTCCATTTGTGGTTTTAGGTCGTACTTATTGTCAACCTCTTACTTGTTCATTGTAACGGACTCTTTGCCCTTTTTCTGGTTTTGACGTTTTATGCTGAAAATTATTTCATGTCTAGATACTCTGATAATTATCATAGAATCATAGAATGGTTAGGGTTGGAAGGGACCCTAAAGATCATCTAGTCCCAACCCTCCTGCCATGGGCAGAGACACCCTCCACTACACCACGTTGCTCAAAGCCTCATCCAGCCTGGCCTTGAACGCTTCCAGGGATGGGGCATCTACAGCTTCTCTGGGCAACCTGTTCCAGTGCCTCACCACCCTCTGAGTGAAAAATTTCTTCCTTATATCTAATCAAAATCTCCCCTCTTTCAGTTTAAATCCATTGCCCCTTGTCCTGTTACTACACGCCCTTGTAAAAAGTCTCTCTCCAGCTTTCCTGTAGGCCCCCTTTAAGTACTGGAAGGCTGCAATAAAATCACCCCGGAGCCTTCTCTTCTCCAGGCTGAACAGCCCCAACTCTCTCAGCCTGTCTTCATAGGAGAGGTGCTCCAGCCCTCAGATCATCATGATGATCATCATGTTACCATATTAAAGCAAAGTAATTCCTTCTAAGTATGTATTCGTTGTAGGCTGTTGCTGCTTGACCTTAAGGTATAAAACATTCTGCAAAGAAGGGAAATAACCAAGAGTTTTTCATAAATTGTATAAATTGTGAAAAAAAAATCAAGTGTTTATTTAACACTTAGCACAATATCTTTTTTGAACTCATAGATTCTCCATTTTTCATTGTCTGACAATGTCAAGTTCTGAGGTGCTCAAAGAGCCAAAGTAGATTCTAGAAATGAAATATTTGTGAATTGGAACAATACCTTACTGTTGAAAGCACACATATTCAATAATAGGATTGTTAACTTCATCATTTTCTAGCCTAATATGCAGCTGTTTCCTTTTCCAGTAGAAAATAATTTCTGTGATGTTAATAAATTCAGCAGTGTGTGAAAATTTCCATTCAAAGTACTTATTTTGAGGAATACATATAACCTACGTTTAAGTCACTCGACAGTATTTTGCACATTTTAAGTAGTCTTTTCCAGCTTCAGTAATTTATCTATCTTTTTATCTTTTTTATAATTTCTCATGGTATATCTGTGCTTTAAGAAAGAATTCCCAAATTTGGAAGAACTTAAACAAGACCCTTGTTTGAAGGTCTGTCTTCAGATTCTTTATGCTTACGTACTGTTACTGAAGGACATCTTCAAGTATATCCTTCTCACAGAAAAACAGAAACGCACGCTCCAGGCTTTAAGGACAAAAGTCTGCAGTAGGATTTTTACAATCCAGTGCATAGGGATACCATCTTAGAAACTTTCTGATGCAAGTCCTGTGCCTCGACATGCCTGGTTTTATTCTTTTCTAGATGAGTCTATGTTTTTATAAGTCAGGTGAAGATAAACACCTCTTGTGGATCTAGATGAAGCAGTTTAAGTAGTTACCAGTGCAATTCCTGAGATATTTCAACTTATGCTGTGTTCCTAGTTCATCTCAGTACCAAGTAACACTCATGTGCTTAAGCCACATCTGAAAATCTTTTAAGCTGATTGCTTTTATTTGCCATGAAGTGAAATAGGAATACTCTTTCTCATCAGTTTCAATGCTTTTGCTGGAGGGAAATAATTAGGATTTGGACGAGCTCGGACTAAATTTGCAACTGTCTATATTTTTATCCATAACTAACACTATCTTTCAGATTGCTTTTTTGTTTTCATTATTTAATAAAATGATAATGATATTCTCAGAAAGAAGTAGGATTTCTGTCAGAGACAAAGCAAGTCATACTCACTGAATGCCTAAGTCTGTAGGCAAGTATCCAGATACTGTAGCTGAAACACTACAGCAAGATCTAGAGTTGCCTCTAATTGAGAAAATTCTAGATACTTTCTTTTTTAAACTGACTTTAAATTTCCAGCCTTCTCCCTGATAATTTTTTTTTTTAATTTGAGTATGTGTGGTGTGTAAAAGTTTATACTCTGAAATGCAATTTTCTAAAAATGGCTCTGAGTTGTGATTTTTTTTTTTTTTTTAATTGAATCTACTTTAATTTTGGTATGTTACCAAAGAAAAAGTTGTTAAAGGTGTGAACCAGAGCTTTTAACCTGCATTTGGAACATTTCATGTGAATTGTTTCTTCTAGGTTGTAACTTGAAATGCTGTTTCTGACCACATTAAGTCAGTAATGTCTCCCTAAATCTAAATAGTAAAGTGGATTCTGTCTTTCATTTGTTCTGGCTGTTCAGTTGTTACGGATATTCACGAAGACTGTAGGCTGATTTTTGGTTGGAGGCTTTTTTAATACCATACAGAAAGCAAAACTTTAGTACTCAGTATCAGATGTGAATAAATCTGTCAGGGGAAAAAAATGTTTTATTTCCTGTGAACTATTAAGGGAATAGCCAGGATTTAAAGTTTATTGGCTCTGATTTTGTCACATCTTTTCTCCACCCTGCTTTGTCAAATGAATTTAACAGTTGCTGTCCAAAGAATAAACATTGAATGGTGTGATGTTACTGAAAAACAAATGTCAAGTCTGTTCCTAAGTGGCATGTGATGGCAAAGCTGGCAGCAACTCAAACATAAAAATGTCTACGTGGTATTAAGTCTTCCATCTTTTTGCTTTTAGAGCTCTAAAAGAAGAGAGAGATGCTTCTCTTTCTGAAGAGACTTGAGTAGAGTGTTATCTGTGGAAAAGAAATATCTCTCCTTTGCCTTTTGACTCATGTTTCCAGTGTAAATCAGTTACTAAGAAGGTCTAAATCTGAAGTGATATGTTTTTTTTACAGAGCAAGTCCTTCTAGATCAAAATGTTCAGACTCCTCCCCCAAGCCCTTTTTCAATACAAGCTTTCAGTAAGGGGACAAGCTGTAGTAATGGACAAGGGTTTGATTATGGCCTTGGAAATAATAAAGGTATGTTTTTATACTCACATTCTAAAAAAATGACATTTTTCTTAACTTTGCTTATATTTTTATTACTCATTTCCTACTCTTTTAGGCACCATGCAGTGTTCTCCAAAAGGCCTAAGCTGTAGTGTAATGAATTGCAAGGTGTCTTACAAAACACGTAGTTAACATTGTAACTTTTTTTTTCTCTGCTTTCATTTCACTCAATCTAAGTACTTCAAATAAAAAGGATCATCAAAGATTTTCAAGGTACAGTTGAGGATTTCTGTAGTGGTAGGCACAAAACTATAATGCAGAAATGGAAAACAGATACTTGTGAAACAAGATATGAAAATTACTTGATGAAGAAAGCATAAGGTTTAAAATTATTAGAAACATTTGTAAACACTTCTCACCTGTCTTGACATTTTTTAAGTGCCTTAAATGAGATGATGAGATAAAAGATACCAGTTGAGATTTAAGTTTTAAAACTGAACTTACCTTTCAGTCACACAGATACCAATTACAAATGCTGGGAAATAAATAAAACCTTGTTAATTTTACTGACATAAAATAATTTTCTTTTAACCATGACTTATTTTGTTGTCAGGATATATGTAAGCAATCACAATAAACTCAAACTGCATGCCTTCTGTTCATTCATTCATTAGATCTAGAAGATTTAATAATATACAAGGGATTTTTGCTGAGGCAGATGTCCTTGCAAAATATTTGAAATGCAGAGCTTTTTTATTCTACTCTTACATCGCTGTACTCTGTCCATGCCACTATGAACATGGGCCTAAGATGTGCTATGTGTTTTTAACACCAGCATATATCCTTAATGGTCTCCTAAATAAAATAGCTTGATTTAAGACTTGTTTTAAAGGGGAAGAGGTGAGGGAAAAATTATTCCTAAATGTTCTAGTCTTTTATTTTCATAACATTAAATAGTTATATCATTTCACAATGGTTTACTGCATAAAAAAGCAGTTCATACTTGTCCATGCATTGCTATAGGAAACCCTTTTTTTGGACAAAGACTGAAAAAATTGAAGTGTTTTCATTTGGTTTATAGGGCTTTTTGAATAGAACTGCTTTTCCCCATTCAGCCATACTCGTTTCAAAGTGTTGTTTGAATCCCAAAAGTGAAAGTGTTTAAGATGTTCGGCATGTGAGGCAGTATTACAACTTGTCTCTCAATGTCAACTGTGTAACTGCGCAAAAGTATTATCTGTTCTTTTTCTGCAGATGCATATTAGGAAAAGAATTTTTTTCCTGTGCTGTCCAAAAGTGAAATCTTGGAGATCAATATGCTGTATTAACTGCCATCTTTGTTTCTGAAGACATTGTGATTCTTTTTACTATATCCTATCTTAAACAGTTTCTAAGGTGTTTCTTTGGGATATTATAGTTACAGAAAGTTTGGAAGCTACTGCTGGCGTTGAATTCCATATAATTTTATACACATTATTCTCTCGACATACTCTCAAGCTGTGATTTTTAGTGTGAGTGAGCAACTCAGCTAGATGACTTTATTCATTCTGTGTACTGTAATTCCATTCGAATTGCCCAAGAGTGGAGAGTTCTTGGCAACTATATTGAAAGAATAATGATATTACTTTCCCCAAAATATAATTCTTCAGCTGTATCCTTCCTTTTTATATAATGTTTTTGCATTCTCAGGTCTAGGAAGCTTTCAGTTTTGTGGGAAAAAAAAAAAAACAACCACACACACACAAAAAAAACAAACCACAAAAAACAACAAAACAAACACCTGAAGTCACAAGCACAATGTTAGGGGAATTTCTGAGTGAAGCGGTTCTTTTGGAGGTGCTTGTTTGTTAAAAGAATTTCTATAGGGATATACTTTCAATGAAAATTCAGTCACCATCTATGAGCGCTTCAAACTACTGGTCAGATGTAAAGATCCTATGTAGTAGGTCTGTGTTTACAGTATTACCTGCGAGGCAGAAGACATAACTGCCACAATCTTTCTGTTTGTTTTAGCTATGTCTTCTCTGTTCCAACCTTCTACATGACAGATGAGTCTTTAATATTCCTCATGAATGGCCCTACTCACCTCCGTATTTAATTATTGTGGGCAGATGAATTTCAACCTCTTCTCAGATGTTCTTCCCTTTAAAAGAAATACTTATTTTAGGAAATAGGCCTGTCATATTTAAGAATAATAGTATTTTGTCAAACATGTCAATCACTTCTGGGTTATTAAGGTAGGAATGATTCCTGCCCAAGTACTGATTCCAATACTTTTTTAGGTATACTACTTCCAAAACAGTGGAATAAAATTGATTTGTTGATACCTGTAGGTGATTTAGAAAGACATTCCAGCTATTTTCTGGTATTTTTGTTCTCTCAATTTTGAAATGAAAGTATCAAGAAAATAAGTGCAAAATTTAACATTGGAGTTCTTAGGTAATACAGGGTTCCATACACCCACTGATCTTTCTCTAATTCTGTAAAAAGACAATTCATAATCACCCAAATATGTGGTAAATTTAAAGACTTGTAAATTCTGTATTAGCTGATAAATTTTTTACTAGGATTTCTAGAATGCTGTCAAAATGATACGAATTTGCAGAATAAAGTGATGCCATTAGGACTTGCTTGCTGATGGTTCAAGCCTGAGATGATCTCAAACTTTTGGTGTCTCCCAGCTCATATTACTAAGTATACTTCAAGTTATAACATGGTGTGATAAACTGCCTTCTTACTGTAGGCTTCATGTATTTCTAGTGCTCACATAGGTTTTTTGTGAATGGGCATTGAGAAATTAAAACTATTTTTAACGTGCTAGTTTTTTGAAGGCCTTTGTTTGCCTCACAACAAATGTATGTTCTGAAGTGGTACTTACTTTAATTTTAAAATTATCCTCAATCTGATCTTGAAAAACAACATGACAGAATACTTTTAAAGATATTTGCAAAAACAGGCAAATATTTACCAAAGCCTTGGCACAGAAATACACTTGCCAAAGCCTAAATACATGTTATCTTTCCCTTCTCATCAGTTTTTCTAATCTTTTTCTGCATGTTCTGTTGCATGTGTGTATTATTGTAAATGCTAGGGATTTCTGTTTTTTCTTTGGCTGCTCTTCATTTTTTAGCAAGGCAAATATAAATCTCGATTTTGAAATGTTTTAAATTGCGGTAAAATATCCATGATCCTTAAAAACCTTGCTTGTACTTTTCAGTAATTTTATCGCCATGCATGAGGCGAGATTTTTGTGTTTAGCCACAACCAGAGTTGTATCTGGCTAAATAAGATTTGTGAGCTTTCTTTATTATCATCATTTAAACTTTAATTGAGCACCATTTTACTCTGCCTTTCTGGACAAGTAACAGGTTGTAGTTTTGACTGTTTTGCCCACTACAGGTGACCAACTGAGTGCCATACTGAATTCCATTCAGTCACGGCCAAATCTCCCAGCTCCTTCCATCTTTGATCAAGCTGCAAAACCTCCCTCTTCCCTAGTCCACAGTCCATTTGTGTTCGGACAGCCCCTTTCCTTCCAGCAGCCTCAGCCACAGCTTCAGAGTAAGTTTGTCAGCCTTACCTGCCTCATCAGTCCATTTCTGCAGCTTTGACACTGCTGTTCTCAGTTGCTTACCAGCTACTAATCATCCCTCAGTGCACCTTTCTGGTTTTGTTTTGTTAAGTTTTTCATGATTCAGAAGCATGTGAGGTAATGTTCCTAAAGAAGTATACTTGTTCAACTTCAATGTCAACATTGACAATATTCTGCTTTTGTCTGTGTTCTGCAGTGTAGATAAGTTATGAAAGTGCATTTCCAATATTGTATGCAGCTCTGGGTTTATAATTAAGGTAAATACTTTATATGGTACAAAATGTTGATAATTCTTTTAACATCTTAAAAATGGATTGCAGTAAATTCATAGTTATTAAATTTTCTTGCCTCCTAAATTCCTATTTTTGTCATCACTTCGTACTTTAGGAATGTAGCTGTAAAGCAGGAACAATTTGGCACTACACATAAGAAAGGCTTTGGTAGTGTTCTGTTAGGTGCTCATAGGATGGGCATGGACATGGAAGTTTGCACCTAGAGGTGAACAGCAGTTAACCTGGTTACTGATGGAAGGACAGGAAACTGTTTAGTTTTTGATTACTGAAAAATATAAAAGCTCAGTGTTCATGATAGCAGATACTGTAGTAAATTGTTCCTTAGATACAAAGAGGTATAGCAGGGGTCACAGGAATACTAGTCTTCTCCTGTCGTCCATAAACTGTCCTTCAGAAGTACCTCAGTTCTTTCTTGTGGGACCCTGTCAGTCAGTTCAGTCTCTGTCTATGCAGTCCTGGATCTATTGATCTCAGCTTATTGAAGTGACAGTGAAGTGCTTCATGTGAGAACTAGGTTAAAATGTTTAATTCACTTTTATAAAGACTATCAGAAATACTCTGACAGTGATCTTCTGGACTTAACGCTGGACTTAAACCAATGTCCTGAAAGCAGAATATTCCAAAACCTACTCAGATAAAACATCTGATTGCCAGTGGCATCAGTGCACAATCGTTGAGAATTTGTCAATTGTATATTCTTTCCCATCACTTTCAGTTTTCTTCCCTTGTTCAGAGTAGTAAAATCAGAGTTCCTTGTTCAACTTTGCCTCAAAAATAACTCTAATTGTCTTATTTCAAACTTGAGATGGTTTGTCCTTTAGCATTTAGATCTGTATTGTATGAAAATAAAAGCTGTATTCAGTAAGCTACATCCATGGTTTGTATTTTAATAAGGATCCTTGATTCAAAAGGAAACCTTCTTTTTTGTCAGATAGGGGAAGCACTGGTACTCTACCAAATAAAGTAAGAATGAAACTGGAAAAAATTTTCAAGTTTGTGTCTGATTTGAGATCTTAGCTTAGTGTAAGATCTCAACTGATATGGTTATCTAGCCCTTCCAGCAGGACAAAAATTGTCAACCAGAACAGATACACTATTGCACTGTGATTTGATACAAGGACTTTCTTCCAAACAGTTCATTATTTCATGTAAGGCTTGATGCAAATAATGTAAATTATGCATAGAGGAGATAAATATTAACATTTTTTTCAACTATCAAAATTTAAGAATTAAATAGGGGAAAGCTTCCTCTTCACGCTTCTGTAGTCTTTTCCAAATTTTTGTTAATCCTTCATTTACAAGTTCATCCAAACTCAGAATATTGTTAGGAGGCCTGTAAGACTATATACTTGTTCATTTAATAGTCGAGGAAATTATCAGGGATATTTGAAACTTAAATAAGACTCTCTAAACACTTTATTTTAAGCAATTATTGTGTTATTACTATATTTCTTGAAACTTTGTAACTTTGCAATATAAGACTAATTAGAATAGCAAGCCATATATGAAATAAAAATATTTCGATAGAAAATCATAGAATCGTAGAATGGTTCGGGTTGGAAGGGACCTCAGAGATCACCTAGTTCCAACTGCCCTGCCATGGGCAGGGAAATGCTCCACTACATCAGGTTGCCCAAAGCCTCATCCAACCTGGCCTTGAACATGTCCAGGGATGGGGCATCTACAGCTTCTCTGGGCAACCTGTTCCACTGCCTCACCACCCTCTGAGTGAAAAATTTCTTCCTTATATGTAATCTAAATCTGCCCTCTTTCAGTTTAAATCCATTGCCCCTTGTCCTATCACTACACACCCTTGTAAAAAGTCCCTCTCCAGCTTTCCTGTAGGCCCCCTTTAAGTACTGGAAGACTGCTATAAGATCACCCCCGATCCTTCTCTTCTCCAGGCTGAACAGCCCCAACTCTCTCAGCCTGTCTTCATAGGAGAGATGCTCCAGTCCTCTGATCATCTTCGTGGCCCTCCTCTGGACTCGCTCCAGCAGCTCCATGTCCTTCTTATGTTGGGGACTCCAGAGCTGAATGCAGTTACTCCCATGTGCGGTCTCACGAGAGGAATCGCCTCCCTCGACCTGCTGGCCACGCTCCTTTTGATGCAGCCCAGGATACGGTTGCCTTTCTCGCCTGCCAGTGCACATTGCTGGCTCATGTTGAGCTTCTCATCCACCAGCACTCCCAAGTCCTTTTCCTCTGTGCTGCTCTTAATCCATTCTCCACCCAGCCTGTACTTGTGCTTGGGATTGCCCCGACCCACGTGCAGGACCTTGCACTTGGCCTTGTTCAACTTCATGAGGTTCTCACAGGCCCACCTCTCCAGCCTGTCAAGGTCCCTCTGGATGGCATCCCTTCCCTCCAGCGTGTCCACAACACCACACAACTTGGTGTCATCTGCAAACTTGCTGAGGGTGCACTCGATCCCACTGTCCGTGTCTCCAACAACGATGTTAAATAGCACTGGTCCCAGTACTGACCCCTGAGGAACACCACTCATCACTGACCTCCACCTGGACATTGAACCGCAAACAACTCTTTGAGTGCAACTATCCAGCCAATTCCTTATCCACCGAGTAGTCCATCCGTCAAATCCATGTATCTCCAGTTTAAAGACAGGATGTCATGTGGGACAGTATCAAATGCTTTGGA